ACTGATGAAACAGAATCAACTGCTCATTGAGGAGCTCCAGAATCACCTTTTTGAACAGACAGAGGTAATGGGTCTGGATCTAGCAGCCCTGAACATGCAACGGGGAAGAGACCATGGCCTTCCAGGTAAGAAGACACAAGTCCACACATCCTGTGAACAATACTCTTTTTCTTCTGCTGTTTATAGTAGTTTCTCTAATGTACTAATATTTTTCCACACCAATGGGAAGAAATAATATTGATTTAAGGGCGAAGGATGGATAGACAGTCAAGCTCAGGGGAAAAAAAGGTCTCTGTATTATAAAGATCTTTTTCTGAGGGATTTAAGGCAAGGACAAAAGGCTTGGAAAGCAAAGGTGATAGTTGGAATAATGTAATAAAGAAGGGAAGAAACAGTGGTGTATTGCAAAGACAGAGGATGTGGGGTGCAGACACAAACTATCAAGTTAATCTTTCATGTGGGCTAAACAGACCATCTATGCTTTGTTCTTTGTCCATCAATGCTTCTTTTGTGTCTTCAGACAACTCAGAGCTCTGAGCAGAAGTGGCTTGCATCCACAGGTATGATTGCCCTAAGGCACTGGAGAAGAATAGGTGCTCCTGGGTTAAGCACAACCAAATGTTGCTCTTTTCTAGGACTTTTATCCTAGAAATTTTGACTCCCAAAACTGCAAGGACTGGTGCATTCACCCTCAGCACTCGGTAGTTTTAACCAACAGGATGCAATGAATCTGTAGTCATGTGCAAAGACAACCCAAATTATTTAGTGTGTGCATACAAAAAGGACCTTTGAAAACATGGCATTTGTTGCGACTGTCTAGACAGTAATGTCTTCCAGATCCTTTAATGCCATGAGAAGAAGCAGACATTTCTTATGGGCCAAGGGGTCTGTTTAGTTCCTGAACCTAAGCAGTGGGTGGGGAGACATGGGTCCTGATCAGCTGCTGTTCCTGCTTTTGCAGGTTACAATGCCTGGAGGCGTTTCTGTGGGCTCTCCCAGCCTCAAAATGTAGATGAATTATCTGAGGTTCTAGGCAATTCCAAACTGGCCAAGAAGTTCATGGAGCTGTATGGGACACCGGACAATATTGACCTCTGGATTGGAGCAGTTGCAGAGCCCTTTGTTCCCCAGGGCAGAGTTGGACCTCTCCTGGCCTGCATCATTGGCACCCAGTTCAGGAACCTGCGTGATGGCGACAGGTAAGTAGCTCTCGGAGCAAACCATCCCCATGAGATTTTTTTATGGGAAAAAATGCTGATATTCCATGCAACGCTAATCCATCTCATCTTCAACACATCAGTGAGTGCTCCCAGCAAGGCTCACATCTTGATTGTAGCTCAATTTCCAAAAGACTCTTTTTTGTAGCCCATTCCTACAGACCCATGTGGTTGAGGAGCACCAGCTTCAGGCCATGGAGTAGTCTCTGCCTGAGCTGACATTTGGTCTCAGGGTACAAAAGGGGAGGATCAGTCACTGTATCCCAGCAGCCTGGTGATGCTCATGGAAGAGGCAAGCTCTCTGCAATGGCAGATGGATGGGAGAATCCAGACCTGGCCACCCTGGAGACACCTCTTTCTAAAGGGTGCTGCCTGATGAATCAAGGTGGCTCTGAGCAGAGACTCACTTTGGTCAGATTCCCGTTTCAGAAAATAACCAGCACCAAACGCCTTTAGTGAGACTATAAGTCGCTTCTGAAAATATCATTGCAGATTCTGGTGGGAGAAACTGGGAGTTTTTACTCCGCAGCAGTTGCATGCACTGAGAAAAATCTCTCTGTCGAGGGTGATCTGTGACAACACTCGTATCAAAAAGATACCCAGGGATGTGTTCAAGGTCAACAGTTATCCTGAGAACTTTGTTGACTGCCATGAGATTGACACACTTGACCTCTCACCCTGGAAAGATGAGCCTGAGAGTGGCACAAAAGGTAAGCAGTTGTCTAAGGTTCGTCAACAATAATAAATGTCCTACAAGGTCAGACTCTTCCATGCCTAAAGAAATAAAAGAATTAAGGTCATCACAGTGATTCCAACCCCCAAAATACCTTGACCATCTATTCAGCCCCACTCAGACACCACTGGAGGTAGATGTGCTGTTAGCCTAGTCTCCTTGCAATCCATCACCTTCATTATCCCTTACTAGCCTGCCTCTTCCTCTTCAACTAGACAAGAAATCCCTGAAAATCCAGGGCATCTGCTCTGGCCCTTGTGAATATGTCCTTCTCTAAATACCTTTTTCCAGGACAACTGGAGTCTTACTTCACAGGAAGGGTGTCCCTGAAGAAATCAATTAGAATTAGCCAACCTGTTCCAAATTCTTACTCTGATGCTCCAAGCCCCTGCTCTCCCAAAGCTTTAAAGCATTTAAAGGTATATCTGGAGTTGTTTTGACACTGTATAGTTTGACACACCAGTAGTTTAACACACAGAGTCAGAGATTATGATGTGCCATATCCTGAAAGACAGTGTCTTCATATAAGAGATGTGGACACTACCTGTGGCCTACTGACAAGCTTTTGATATGGGGTCTTCCACTTGAAAATGATGTAGGGAGAGCAGAGACTTGCAGAAGACAGGTATGACCTGAGCAGAATGGACTGGATTGGATTTTTTCCTTCTGGCAACCCACTTGTAGATGATCACAATACCTAGGAATCACCTACTCTGTCATTGTGCAAGGCACAGGCCACAAAACATCTCCATGTAGCTCCTGTATGAGCTCTATTAACAGTATTTGAAAGAGACACTGTTGTTTAAGACAGACATTTGAACTTGATGTAAAGGCTAAATTATGGTGACTTTACCCCATTCTTTAGGAATTGAGTCTAGCTGATGATTGCCTTCTTTCTAAACAATAGAAGCTTCCTGATTTCTTTTATTAACTTAGTCTTGCGGTCACTAAAATTTGCTGAGCTACTCTCTGTGGCTCTTTTACCACCAGGCTGGGAGGAAGCTGAACTGTGTTTGCATAACCCAGAGACAGTGAAATCCCAGGGTGTTAAACAGTAACTGCTAAAAGTTTAACCTTTTCTAATGCCAAGAAATTGCCCCAGAAGCACTTGGCCAAAGGGCTGTCTGATATTGGGTCATCGGAGATGACTTTTGACAAGGCTGGAAGCACCATGGTATCTCGGAGGTACAAGGATGCAGGGGTGACCTGGTACTCAGTTACCCATTCACCAGTGAGTATTTTAAGCTATGGAGCCAAATGAAAATGTGGGGGAAAATATCGTGTACCAGAAAGACTTTCTGCCTCTCAGTGGCTTTCTCTGCTTCACTGACAGTTTCTAATCCTGCTCATCAGACCAGCGTTGGAAACTCTTGATGGTGGCACTGAACTGCTCTTGGGAAACTGCTGCCTGTACATCATGCTCAGCCAACTGCTGTTGTCTGAACCTCGACACATGATTTCCCTGAGGAGCTCAAGACTATGTCTACTGTTTTATTTGCTGTACTGTGCTTTTTGTATCATTTATTTGTAAAATCTTCCGGTAATGTAAGTCTTCACATGGAAAGGTAATGACATTTTATTGTCTGTTGCACTAGAAAAGTGTTCAGAGGTGTACAAGATTTGGCTAGGTGTTGGATGCTTTATGACTCTAAAGGCACAATCAAGGGAGATTTTTTACTTCTCATCGTGAATGGGTGTCACATCTGGAGGTTGGTGTGCTTGCATTTCAAAATCAAATTCCTTATCCTTTGTTTCTACTCAGAAATTAACAAGTTCATGTAATCGTCATCAAAACTTTCCTTAAATCCTTCTTGGTTTGCACCAGAGCATAAATTGTTTAGGCTGTTTCTAATTAGCAGTGAGATTTCAGTCTCTGAAGACACTGGAGAATGGCCGCTGCATCTTGAAGACTAGAGACATCTTTTATTTAAATGCTATAGTGAACTTGTATTTGTTTGGGTGTGCTGAGCAGTAATAAAATACATTGTATGTACTCATCTACATTTGGCACCAATTCTGGTATGTCAAACGTGTCCAAAACATTATCTGACTAGGGGTCATAGCAAATGTAACAGCATAAAAAAGCAAACCACAAGGTTGTTGGTATGTAAACCACAAGCATTAGAACTAAAAATTAATAATCTGGCTGGGATGATCACTCCCAAGACCCTATTAAGTCAATAAATACATGTAAAAATCATATTAAGTTTCTATCTCTCCTTGGCAAAACTGGGAGGGAAGGAGGGGTCTGGAAGCAGGAAGGTGGCAGTCTAAGGTAGAGTCATGAGTGAAGCTTGGGGGTGGAGTAGGTGCCTCTGATGAGGACTAAAGATGGTTGGTAAAATCCCACAGCTACAGCATCAGCACTTTGCCATTGCGGGGTGTGCTGGCAAGTCGTGCCCGTACCAGTCCAGTGCCCCATGCTCCCTACCCATGGCCCGGGGGGCCGCAGGTGAGCGATGGTGCTTGGGGACCATGCTGATCCATGAGCCCCCAGCGTGGGGAGCAGGGAAAGGCTGTGGTGACCCTGGGTAGAGGAAGGCAAGATATTGTCCTCTGACACATAGAAGATAGGGCAAAACCAGGCAGGATTCAGAAAACAGGAGCTGCAGCTCCTAGAGTGTATTTGAGTTGAAAAATATATAGGCTGTGTTAAAAATCATGAGGTTATCAGGGCATGGGAAGGATGTTAAGCAACACACTTCTGCTGTTCGCCTCTGGTTTTGGAGTCCCCAGGCTTGTTCCCCTCCGATATTCAAGATCTGCCCAACCACTGAAAGCAAAATCTTGCTTTGCCTAAAAGGAAGGCTAAGAAAAACCAAACCCCAACCCCTGTAGACACATATAAGGTCTTTAATTCCCCTCTCCCAGTGCTGCCCTGGCTTTCCCCTCTTGTGGCAGAGGCACCTCCCAAGTCCTTCCCATGGAAAGAGGTTGGAGTCAGTGCCTTCTGAGTATGCTTCCAGGGGAATGTGGCAGCCCTCAAATCCCAAGACAGCCACTTCTGCAAGCAGGATGGTCACAGGCTTGGGATAAATGCCTCCACTTTGTTGGTTTTGAATAGGAAAAGGTGATTATAAGCATGTAGTGATGATAACAGGAAGGGTCCAGCTCTGCCTGGGGTCCAGCTGGAGAGAAGTTCTCATGGTTACAATTACAAGGAAATGTCCAGCTACCTACTGTGTGTCTGTCCACACAGGTGGCACAGTTCTGCAGAAGGAATATGGCAACCAGCTCACCAGCTCCACTTACAAGATTTTCTTCTGTGGATGTTTTGTCTGTCACTGGTATGTCAGGGTTGCCATCCACAGTTGTCTTTGCTGCTAGACCTCCCTGTTGTTGCCATGTCCTCCTCCTCAGCTGCTACACACGCAGCTGGAGCTGGAAGATAGGATCACTACTGGGAAGGCCCATTCGTCATGCCTGATATCTCATGATAGGTGATGAGCATGGAGTCACGGACCTGCTCAGTGAGCTTGGGAACATCGTCTGGGCCCAGATTGAGGGTCTCCACTTCTGGCAGGATCTGGATGATGCTTTTTCCTGGAAGAATGAGATAGGAGGGTCAGAGAGGGGGAAGAAAATATGTGAGTGGTGTAGAAGAGTGGGAGAAAATATAAAAAGGGGTTGGTGCAAACTAATGCACAAGACAGAAATTAGGGGTAATGCCCTCTTTCACATGCCAACAGTGGTGTAGCAACTCAGTCATGTCCCAGAGGCACAGAGCAAAAACCCAAACCAAGATTTTCCCATTCACAGAGACTGCAAAAATAATAAATACAGAAACAGGTGAGACTCTTCTCAAATATATCCAACACAATGATTCATGTAAAATATGTTTTTACAGTGGAAAGACCTCAGGGTCTGTCTAGATCACGGCAAAGAGAATGAGATGTCTATAATACATCACATCCAAACTGGCCATGCTCTATGTATATCAAAATCAACAGAGTCCCTCCTCCCAGTAACATGCTTTTGGATGAGAGAAATTGTACCCAGGACTCCGGCCAAGGCGTGTGTCATACTTCTCTTGGGAAGTGTCTAATCAATGGTCTGGTGCATATAGGGGAGCCGTCATCATGCTCTTCTGGTCTTGCACCCAATGGCCCTTGTTCTGGCCAATGGAGACAAAATGCTGCCTGCACAGACACTCACCTGAGTATCTGGGCTGTGTCTGTGTTATTTTCTAACTCTCTTGCATGCCTTTACACATGTGCTAGGAAGTGTTGCTAGCAGAGACGTGCAAGGAAGGCAAAACAAGCATAGAGAAGAGTTTCTCAAAACAGAAACATAGAGAAGAGCTTCACAAAACAAGAGGGCATGCTCTCTGCTTGCACATTTTACGTCCAAAGATAGGCCTGGTATCTCAGCAGTCTACTGTGCTTCACTTGGTCCTACAGAAAAAAATGAGTGATGATGGGGCTGTGCTGAAAATACAGGTCTGTTCAGGAATAACAGACTTCCAAGCAAGCACCAGACTTGCTCCATGCATGACAGTGTGCACACACTGGACACAGAGTTGGACTTTCCCGAAGCTCATCAGCATGCCCAGAGCCACTTGTGGACATGGCGAGCTGTCCTGACCTGAGGCTCAGTCTGCTCAATGTGCAGAAATCTTGGCCACGTGTAGCACATCTTCAGACTCAGCCCTGGCAAAACTTGCAGGTGGGAAAAGCGGGAAGGTATAGGGAAAGCTAACTGTGGTTCTTTCTCCAGCAGGGAAGGTCCTAGCTGTTTAACAGCAATTTTGAAAAGGGCTTAGAGGTCAGCTAACCACAAACTCCCAGGCTGAAGTTACTATAAAGGCAAATGTACATGCAACTTCAAATAGTCTTTCCTAAAAAACTCAGGGAGGTTGTGGAATCTCCTTCCTTGGAGTCACTCCAAACTTGGCTGGACAAGGCACAGAGCAAACTCAACTATCTTTAGAGATGGCCTTGCTTAAAGCAAAAGGTTCAGCTGCCTCAGAGATTCCTCCCCACTGTGTTATTCTCTGATTTCCCAGAGCAGTGTTGTATCTTCATTGCCCAACGGAGCAGGGATGTGATGGGGAGGAAGCTTCCAGTAACAAAAGGCTTTTGTGTGTTTCCCAGAGGATAGACTGGGAAAGATTAGTGGAAACATACAATGCAACATTTAACATTTGCACCGACTCTCTCTTCCAGGTGTCTGCCTTGGAGCAGGCTACACCCAGGCACTGACAACTGGAGGAATGAGAACTTCAGATGCAAATCTTCTCCTTAGGAAACAGAGGGGCTGGCCTGGGGGAAGGTGGTAAGTGGCAGAAGCCCATTTTGGAGTGGGTGTCAGCAAAGGAGATGAAGAAACAGGATGAGTTACTTTTCTCTGTTGGAATTTGAAACATTTTTTTCTGCATTTTCCTTCTGAAGCCCAAAACTTGAATCATTTTTTCCCCATAAAATTTTATCAGTGTCCAGCAGAAATTTTTGTCACAATAAATGAATGAACCATGGTCACTGGGAGAAGACACACTCTCAAGGTGACTTTTGCTGAGAGCTCAGTGTTTGTTTTTGTTTTCCAACTCTCCATGCACCTGCAGCTCCAAGGACAGCATGGCAGGGCCAGGGGCTTGACCAGGCCCAGGACTCTGCTGCTTCTTCAGGTTCCCTCAAATGAGTATTGGACAAGCTGTGAGAAATCCAAGGGGAGAGGCAAAGTAATGCCTGAAATCTCCCATTCCCTCCCCTCATGAGAAGGCAGAAATTGCTGTTGTCTGACTGCTGTCTCCACATTGCACGTGGTCCTCTGTCCACCTACCTCCTGGCTCCCTCCAAGGACTGAGCTCACATTAACACCCAGTCCGTTCTTTGCCCCAAGTCATCCTCACCTGGTGTAAATCTCTTCTCCTTCTGGTTGTAGAAGTCACGGTAGGAAGAGATCACTACAGGAATAATGGGCACCTGGAGGGAAGGCAGTCTACAGTGAATCTACAAATTTCTCCATTCTTCCCCTAGAATGGAACTGGTGTTCTTAGGTGAATCCTGCACCCAGTCTGCATCACAGTAGACACTCATAGGTATTTTGATATTTAGATCATTTAACTGTATCACCCAATCTTCTCACGGTTGGTTTTTGCATTTTCATCTCTGTATGTAGGACAGCAATGCATGGATTGCCAAATTACTATGTACAGAGGTCTGTTCAGCAGAAACTACCCTCCCCGGGCAGGTCCAGGGCTCTTGTCAAGGCCCCTCCACTTTTTTACCAAGCTGAGTCATGAAGGTTTTCCACTTGTCCCAGAAACAGTCCCCTCCTGTGCCACCTGCAAGCTCCTCATGGGCTCCTGGATGTGTGCTCAATCCAAAAGGAAGCCAGGGACCAGGACTCACATAGACCCAGTTGCTGGTGGACTGTGGTAGACAAACCACACCCCAAGGGGCAAGAGGAAGGTGGGTCTCACCTGGGCTTTCACAGCCAGCTGGAAGGCCCCACGTTTGAAGGGTAACATAGATCCACCATGATTGCGAGTTCCTTCAGGGAAGATCAAGACGCAAAACTGCAGGAGAGAGAAGACACTGAGATAAAGGGACCTCTGATTACTATTCTAAGCCACTGCACAGGCATACTCCCCTGGGACTGATCTGCCTGCTCCTGACCATGCAGAGGCAACTTCTTCCTTCACTTAACTACTTTATGGACACACAACACATTCAACCCACCAAAGATGCTCTTTGTTCTGTTCAGTGCCCAGCCCAGAGACAAAGATCCTTTTCCAACCACATCAAGGTTCTTGTTTTACAGTGGTTCCTCACCAGACTTCTCCCCACTCACATTTTCTTTGTGCAGAGAGTGTGCCACCTCTGTCAAAGTAGTGATAGACTCTTCCCTCTTCTTGCGGTCAATGAAAATGAGTCCTGCAAGCCAGCATGCTAGACCGAAAGTGCCCATGTATAGGATTTCCCTCTTTGCAATAGGCACACAGCGATTTGGTAACATCTCCATCATCACTGGAAGGGGAGAACAAGGACAGAATGAATTGTCATCTATATTGAGGTTTCCTACAGATTCTGGGCTACAGCCCTCTGCTCTGGGAGATGCCATGCCTGCCACACCCATCCAGCTTCATAGGATCAGCAACATGCTGGGAAAGGGATTCTGGGGGTCTCCAGACCAACTGCTCACTTAGAGGAGGACTATAGCCAACACTGGATGAGAGCAGCTATGACAGGACTGTGTTCAACTGATACTCTCATCCCCATTCTCTTGGAAAGGATGAAGCTGACTCATCTTGAAAATACCTCTAATAGCCCGGGGAACAACACTGGCTCTAATACCTTTGAGATCAGCCCTGGCTCGGGGCTATGTAGCAGCCATACCAGACCCTTTATCTGTGGTACTTGGGATTTTTTACTACCCTCCCCTACAGACAACTGGGGCCAGGAGCAGGAGGCAGGATCACCACATACCGATAATGTCAAGGGAGGTCTGGTGATTCAACACGAGGACACAAGGTTTCTTAGTCCTGAGGTTCTCCTTTCCCTTCACCACTATCTTGATACCAAAAATGTATTTGAGTGGCAGGAGTGACATGCGCAAAAACCTGGAAAAGGGGAGTAGGCATTAGCCAAAGAGACACTGAAATTGGGTAAAGGGACCAAACACTATTCTTCCAAACCAGCCCATCTCACAGACTGCTCCCGCAGAGTAGCCTGTTTCTCTGCAGACCCAGATTTGACCCATGACTTGAAGAAGAGCAGATAGTATGTCTCTTCAGTTCATCATTTCATTAGAGAAGACAAATACACCTAGCAGATTCTTTTCAAGCGAGATTAGACCAATGGCCTACAGCTACAACAATTCCATGGATCAGGCAAATATTAGGCAATGGCCAAATTAATAGTACCTGTTTGTACTCTACTTCCCTGCCCGCCTTGCTAAGTCATGAATACAGGCTGCAATAAACATGCACCTAACTCTGTTATTGCTCAGACTGTGGAAAGAGAGATGATTTTGTGTCTAGGTGACATTAGACTGCAATTCTGGTAGCCAAATTTTAACAGATGCTGTAAAATAAAGAAAAGAATAAAACTCAGGCACAAAAGTCAAGACCTGAAGAAAATTTATTAAAGAAAAAGCCTGATGGTCAGTTAGGAGATACGAACTCCCACTGCAGCATCCAAAAATGAAGTAGTAAATCCTTTCACTGCAGCACTTCAGGAGGCTACAAGCACTATGTTGCTGTGTAGCAGTCAGCTTCTATCCACCGCTCAACCCACACTCCGAGTTACTAATGCCCACTACTGCTAATCACGTCTACACCCAGCTGCACAGTCTCCAAGTGAGTCCGGCAGCTCGTTGCAGAGGCAGTAACAGATGGAGAGAGGAGATGGGCAGCAAATAGACAGGCTCAGAGACTGCCAGACCTGGGGGCACTGGGCTGTAATTGCAGTGATGGGGACACCAGTGACAATCCTGGTGCCAGCAGTGCACCCTGATAATGTCGGCTTGTGTCTGTTCACGTGGGCACTGGTTCAGAATAAAGTTGAGAAGGAGAAGGGCACCTGCAGAGGCTTTCTCAACACAACTTAGAAAGGGAATGATTAGCCACATGGAATAAGGAAATACAGCTCTGAAGACCAGATAGGAGACATTTACTAAAACCAGCAAGTTACTTCACCTGTGCATTACATCGAGTTTGCTGTCATTACCTAGTTTGTCAAATTTAGGTGACCTTTAACATCCTTTCTTTCCACATTTCATTAGCAACTAAAACACAATACTGAAAGCCACATGTCTTCTCTGAATTACAGGGCCTGTCAAGTCTCCACATCAATATACAAATAATTCCTCCCCACTGCAGTGCAGTTCCCAGGACCCTCCAAAACAGAGCGCGAATTGACTCTATCAATGCCCAGAGCAGAAAGAAGCCACAGACAACTTACTTCATGTTTTCCAAGTTACGTCCACGAGGAATACTGGCCATAATAACCAGAATGCTTAGGGTGAGGAGCCACAACTTATAGAAGGTCATCTTGCAGAAATACCTGAATGCAGGTTTCACCTGGTAAAAGACTAGAAATATGATGAACAGAAAAGTAAAAGGGTAGTGAAGGAGGAAAAGCTCCATCCTTCCAGTGCAGAGTCAGCCAGAAGAACAAATGAGTCCTGAGCACCTGATGTTGTGGAAGAGAGTTCAGATTCTCTTGATCAGCTACACGTGGGTGGGACAAAGCTGGAATAAGATTTGGGAGCAGTGCTTCAGAAAGGCTGTGTTTGCTGCTTGGAGCTGAACTAACCGTGGAAAGCCTGTTTGGCAAGGGCACTCCAGCAGCGCTGTGTGTAGGAGCTGGCTGGCAAGCAGGAGCAAACACGCAATAGCAAGGCAGGGTGTGTGTGGCTCTGGGCCAGTAGAGCAATGACTGCTTGGAGAGACAGCCCCCCTTCAGGGCGCTCTGTGTGTAGGAACCCTGACAACTTTTAAGAAAATCTTTAATGTGAGGGAGTGGGATCTGTTGGACAGTACAGATGCCAGGCTGTCTCACTCTGCAAGCATTGAACTTCACCAACAAGTGAGCTGTCTGCAACATGTCCAGAAAATCAGAAATTAGTATTATTGAGAAGAAATAGAGAAAACCAGTGATCCTAGTAGCCAGCTCCTGCCCCATACATCTAGTCATGGGAGGGACCAAGCTGAGCAACTGGACATTCCTCAAGTAAAGTGGGAAAAGTGACAGAAGTGCCACATGGCTAGACAAAAAGATAAACAAAGCAAGAGCAGCTATTCCTGATGTTTTCAAGGCCAGAGGCAAGCACATGTTTAGACAACATCTGCATAAGGTGTAAATCAGGTTAAAACTACTGCATGAAAAGAATCTTTGCAATAAATACAGTGACTAATCTGAAAACCTTCATGATTTATCACTTGCATGACAGGCCTTGCTCAAGCAGCTGTAACTTAAGAGGAGTAACAATATTAAGTTCCAGCCAGGACTGAAAGCTGCAGATTCTCAAAAGGGAATAGTCTGAGGACCCATAAAATGACATTGACTGTCACTTGTAACCTAAAGAACAAGCTTGAATCCCTGAGAACAGTAAAATGGACAAGCCTCAGTAATATTTCATAAAGAAACTGAGGAAAGGCATAATAACAACGAAAGCCATTGCCTGTGCCCCCTGTTCCCTTGGCTTAGCCAAGGACCCTTTCTATCCTGTCTTTCATGGCAAAAACTGGAGAGAAGTGACTCCAGGCCTTGCTGCTCAGCTCTCCCAAGGCTTCCCTGCAACCACAGGAGAGGCAGCCAAAGCAAAGAGCTTTGTCTACAGCCTCCTCACATGGAAAAGACAAGCACCTTATGTGTGCACACTGGACCCAGACACCGTGATCCCTCTTTACTGGTGCTTTTGGAGACTAGCCATGGTTGCTTTGTGCTTATCCAAGGTCTGATCCAGCAGACAGTTAGCTTCACAATGCCTGTTAACCTTCTTAATATCTCATCAGTATCAATTATGGCCTTTCACAAATGGATGAATGTTGGTCTGATGTGCAACTAGTTCACCCTGACCTACCAGGAGAGAGGTTCCTAAAAGGTAATGCCAGTGAAAGGCACTTGGAATGGCTCTCCTGCAAGGACAGCTGTAGTTGTCAAATCAAGCCTGCTGTTGTCAGGCTCCTAATGCAAGAGGAACATCTTACACAGCTCTGCACGTGAAAACTCACCCAGAATGTCTAGGGACAGGGAAGTATGCAAATAGAAACTCACCACAAACCACTGAAAAGCTTTATTTTAAGTCACTGACAGCAGTTTTCAGATACCTTGATCAAGGTTGTAAGGAAATCATGCTTCTGCACTATAAAGTGCACCACTGAACTGGTACTAAGCTTTAACAAGTTGGTGACTTGCCCAAAGGAACACAACAACCCTAAAATACAGCTGATCTACAAGAACACAAGATCCTGAACCTGAGGAAAAGACAGAAAAATGTGTCCAGCACAAATGTTGGTGTCCAGATGGTAAAACCAAAGCATAGCCAGAGAAGACCCACATAAGCAGATTTACAAGTGTGAGGATCTGTTAGACCCTCAGCGTGGTGAGCTGTGAAAGGAATGGTTCTCCATGGCACCACCAAACTGAGGAATAACCAATATTGATTGGGCATCACCAAGATGTTGCCTGCAGAAAGGTAACTCTGCACACTTAGAGCAATGAGAACAGACACAGTCTCAAGAAAATGTCAGACACATAAGAGTTTGAAGATGGACTAATGGTTATTTGGGACTTTCAACAACTGGTAAGTATCTGTGATGAACATGGGAAAAGGTAAGGACATAAAGCAATAATAAAAATTATGCCATTCCCAACTCACCATGGAGAGATAGTCAGCTCAGATCTAACAAAACATTCAATCTCCAAAACCACAGATACCAAAATCCTCAGCTATAAATTTATTCTGCTGGAAGGATCCCTTGCACCTAGATCCATCATGCCTCCATTTCAAAAGCAGTTGGGTCTTGCCTAACCTGCAAGGTATTTTCAGAAACTGCAGCTCTAATGAAGCTCCCAGTTTCCAGACTAAATGTAGCCATGATTAGTTGACTCCCTTTTGCCCCTGGGTCTTTGCACCCTTTTCAGACCTTGGCTCAATTTAAATGAATCTTAGATAGGGAAAAGAGGGGCTTGCTGATATCACAAGTTTTCATCATGCAGCTTTAATAACTCTCCTACTCACCAATTCTGCTAAGCCAGACATTGGTCAGAAGAGTGACGTGGAGGCAGGGAAGGTGATCTAATCTAATGGGAAAAGACTAAGAAAATTGACTTGGTCATAGTAAGCAAATGAAGGCTCAGAAGAGAACAGACTGTTTTCAATACAGCAATGTGTGAGAGAGAAGAGTTGCTTAAGTTAAAGATTACAATTGACTTCTAAATGTGAAAGCAGTGATTTCAGGACTGAACAAAAGGACTAGATTCTGAAATTAGAACAATTCCCACTGGAAACTGCTGGCACAAATAGCTCTACTGAAACAGACTGGAACAAGCTATCAGAGTGTTGGGACTGCTGAGTGCCAAGGACCACATCAGCCCCTTAGTCTTCAAAACGAGAACAGTACTAAAGGCAACTTGTAGTGCATGCAGTTAGTATCCAGTTAAATAGAGGCATTAACATTGTTATTTAAAACATCAGAGGGATTCCAGGGTAAATATATAAGAGACAGGTCATCAGGACTGAGGAAACTGTATTTACCATGCTCTGGCTGCAGCTCCATGATAAATCCATTCATCACTCAGTTTTGCAAGGCACAGAGCAGCTTTGGATACCTAATTATGAGCAAAGACATAGCTGGAAATTTTCATGACAGAAGAAGATTTTCTGCAGGAAAATGCGTCCTTACTCATGAAGATTTCTGTGGCATGCAGACAGCCCTGACAGAAATGTGATGCAACAGTCTAGAATAGCTTGTGCTATAGGACTTGCATCCATGGGGATGGTGCAAAGTACAGCCAGGTGAATTGTGGGCTGGAAAATAAAACAGTTTATCACTGTAAACCACAGAAAAATTGAGGTGGGAAGGGACCCCTGGAGGTCTGCAGTGCAACCAGCTACTCAGAGCAGGGTTAACTCCAAATCCAGATTAGCTTGCTCAGGGTCTTGTCTAGCAAGTTTGGAGAATCTCCAATGATGGAGTTCCCACTAGCTCTCTGGTTCCTGTGTCTGCATTGCACCACTGTCATGGAGAATAATGTTTTCCTTTGTCTAATGGGAATTTCCCTTGTTGTAACCCATGTCTGTTACTCTTACCCTTTCACTGTGTGCCTCTGAGAAGTGTCTGACTTCATAGCTACTTGTTAGGAAGTCAAAGACTGAAATCACCCCATTTCCCCACTGAGCAAATCCAGCCTTTCTTTGTACATCATGTGCTCTAGCCCACTGACCACTTCGGTAGGCCTCCACTCAAATGAAGCACAGTGATCCCTGGGAGAAGGTCCTAAGCAAGTTGGACTGAGGATGAACATCCATTCTCAGAGCTGAAACAGCTGGGCAAGGCTGCAGGTGGGAAGGAAAGTGAATGAGAGGCCCCAACAGAACCAGGGGAGAGCTGCGTTTCTGAAATTATCAGCAGGGGCTGAGCAGGGCAAACAATCCCATTCTTGCTCCTGCAGGCTGAATTCCCCATCTCAGTGGTTCCAGTGGCCCACGCAGGCAGGCTCCAGGCAGCCCATGGCAACAGTCCCCATCCTGCTGTACATGCATTTCACGGGTTTGATTAAGTAGTTTGATTGACTTGACAAGACAGATTAAATTTTCTAAATTTTAGCCATGAGCTTGGCTAAAATTGGAAAAATAGGTCGTCTGTGCTTAATGCACACAGAAAGATTGTGGGGGATTTTGAGCCAGTCATTTTCTCCCCCTTAAGTTAATTGCTGAAGTCAAAAGGACATGAATGAGACCTCCTCTGTCCCCAAGGGGCTGAACAAATGCTGGAGGTACAGGTGTCATAGCTGGACAACTAATTCTAGAAAACTAAAGCTACAGAGACTGAGACATCCCCCATGTAGTCAGGCACCTCACACCCATCAAATCTGTTGACTCCCTTGTAGCTCTCAGCACCAGAGACTTACCCAAGAAACAGTGGGCTTCAACACACTCGAGGGCATGTTTGCATGTTTTCTGCCTTCAAAACGTGTCCAGGATTATGTACATCAGCCTACATACCCAGGATGTTACTCAGCCTGGGCATTGCCCCTCCACCCTGGCCTGGTACTAGCAGAAGTAGGTATCTATACCTCTTCTTTTTCTCTGAGGATCTCACAGAGGCTCCTGCCCCTTTGGGGGTGATAAGGAAGAGATTACTATCATGTGTTTGTTGGAACTACATCCTGTGCTGGCCCTTTCTCTGAGGAATGTTTCATAGTGCCATGTGACACAGGAGTATGGGTCAGAGACTTCAGCAAGAAATACCTTCTTTGTTAAAAATACACGGGTTCTTGAATTGACTTTGTACAATATTCCTATTCCACTCACCTGTGGTTATTGCACCTTTTATGAAGTGCAAGGAACATTTTAGCCTCAGCTCAAAATCGCAATTTATTGATCAACAACATTAACACAGCATACTACAGAGGAAAGAGAAAATGGTTTTGATCCCTTTCAAGAAAAGATATGGAGGGGACAACGTTGGAGTAAAAGTAAAACTAGACTAGCTTTTACTTTCTTGTACATTAAGACTGTTCTTGTCTTTGCCAGGACAGATCCCATCAGCTCCACAGCCCAGGGGTAGGTCACTCTGGCTCAT